AGAAGGGTACAAGCAACAGCTCTCAGTAACAGTTAATGGGAGAAATGGTGGAAATACTCTTTTCTCTCCGGCCCAAGAGACACTTCAAGAGGATATTGCTGCCAAAATCTAACAAGGTGCTTACAAGGTGAGAGCAAAGCTTAACCTAGATTGCCTTTCCAAGTTACCACTGCTATTGACAGTATCCACAGGAGTTGACCTGAACTGATAAGCTTGGCATGGATGGGTGTTTACATCCTATTATTGTTCAGCACAGAAAAAGGAAGTGGCCAGAAGACCAGATCCGGCTTATCTGCCACGAAGAAACTAATACCAGGTTCCTGCAGAAAACGCCTGTGGCTCTCCTCCCAGTGCAGGAGATCGAGTGTCCTGTGTCAAGACTGTCAGCCCATCAGGCAGATCTAGCTCAGAGATGAAACTCCAGAGCTACTTCAGCTCTTCTCTAGGTTAGAAGTCCTGGTAAGCGCAGTAAGACAAGGGGTTGCTCAAGCCGCAGCTTGGGTTCTTCAGAGGCGAGCACAGCCCCCTGGCTGGCAGGAGCACTGGGCTCCCAGGCACCCCGCAGCAGACGGCCCGTCTGGAAACACAGCCCACCTGGAAACCCGGCACTAGACTTGAGGAAAGCCACAAGCAATCATCCAGACAGTTTGTTCATTTTCTCTAAACTTTATTGGCACTGTAGGAAGAACAAGGTATGGATTTTAACAACTCCTCTAAATAAGGGAAAAAAAAAAAAAAAACTTAATATCAAGGCTCTTTGCAGGTAACCACATGGACCCATGAACCACCCCCCACAAGGAATTAATTTTTTAATAAAAACTAGTAAAAAAAAAAAAAAAAAAAGGACAAAAAAAAAACCCCAAACCCTCAACATAACTTACAGCAACAAAAAAAACAAAACAAAAAAACCCACAATACCACAAGCCAGGCAAACATTTGTTAAAGTAATTCCCTCCCCCCAAGCCTAAGAGGAGTATTTATCCAATTAATTTGGAACAGGGAGAGGAAGAAAAATTCACTATATTCTAAAAAATAAAAAAAAACATATCTAGAAATCTCACTGTAATACTGAAAGCTTCTTACATTAGTTTTTTTTGTTTTTTTTTTTTGCAAAATATCATCTCTTTACAATACAGTATACATTTCCAAAGGATGGGAGACATAAAAGTATCCTCTCTCCCATTACTAATATTTTCTAATTGTGCATAGCTAGAAATATTGAAATCAAATACCATTAGATACCACTTTTAACATAATACTGGTTAAGAGGAGGGCAGGGCTGAAACAACTACACAAGGAGTTAGGTGGACTCACTGGCACAACCCGTTCTATTCCTGCATTGGACCATTCGGAATTAGAACGATTGAAAAAAAAAAAAAACCTATAAACAGAAGTCACGCCAGCATTGCAATACACAAGTTCAGCAGTATTGTGTGACCCATCAAAGCAGAAAGAGGTTTACTGGTTTATTATTTGAACACATATTCCAGGCACCGTACATCTTCTCATTAGGAAATTGTTAAAATGTAATAAGGGCTTTTTCCCTACCAGATGCACCAGTAGTTGCCATGGGCAGAGCAGAAGTGCTGAGAACCAGCTTTAAAGCACCAGAACAGAAGTGTAATGGTTGTTTGTTCCCCAGTAATGAGACTCATGTAGAGCCAGTGCCAAATACCCTTCAGTAAAGAAATATGCAAATCAGTTCTGACACATTTAACTGCAATCTTTCATTGGTGACATTCAAAGCAGTGGAGCATGTGTTTTTGGCCAGTCAAAGGCTTCCCACATCCCCTCGCCAAAGACACACTGTGTCCAGGGCAGAGAAGGGGGCATCCAAGTGACTCTGCTGGATGCACAGGAGGAGCATAGAGCGATGCTCCCACCAGAGGTTTAGTTGGTTGGCATCTCCACACAGACTCGCATTGCTTAAAACAAAAAAATTAGCACTGGTGAGGTTGTTACTAGCAGCCCAAGGAATTATTGAGGAAATACTGCAGTTTATTAACACTGACATGAACATTTCTTTTTGGCACACTCCCCTTTACCTTTTCCATAAGGTGGGGAGCTGAAAGAGCTCTTGCATATTCAGATGGTTTCCTTCTATCACTATGATCAGTGATACTACAGACAAAATAGAGGCATCCACAAAACCAAGAATGTTTTAAAGATTTAAGATCATGCTAGGCAAGATGTTATAGGCTAACCTGATGACTTCCTATAGGGACAGGCTAATCCAAGGCAAGCAAAGCAAAGGAGAACTCCATTTGAGATGGACTGACTCCCTTTGTGAGAAGCCTCTCGTAAAGTTGGAGATTTCCTTCTATGAAGGATCAAGGCAAAAATCCATTCACCCCTGAGCATACACGGCTGTTCCTTCCCCAGGAATGGAGGAGTCTGGGTAGCTACAGCACAGACAGGAATGGATAGCTTGGAAGACAGGATGTCAAGGGCACTGTTAACTGTCCCAACCTGCTCTCAGGACAAGTCACTGGGGTCTACTTATCTGCAAAGGGGCCTAGCAGGATGTCAGTGAGGATTAAGGCAGTAGCCAGAAAAATGCTTTGTGGTCCTTTCCCCTCTGATGCTAGGAAGCTAGGAAGATATATTCAGACCTGTACATGACCCAAGAACAAAAGTAATTTTTGGTCCCCAGCTTCTCATTGCTTAAACTAGGTATAATTATAAAAAGTAAAGACAACTGAGCTACAGTAGATCTATACGCAGTCATAAGGCACCAGTGACTATGTGTTAAAAAGGCCTCTTCTCGACACCTGAAATCCCACTCCACAACCAGGAGGGAAACACAACTACAACAAGTTTTAGTTCTTTGCGTTTCTCCCTATCCCTCCAGGTTTCCACTGGTGACCCCAAAATGGAAGGCAATGTTCTTTAGCTACTTCTGCTTCACTGGTTACATTCAAGTCAGACAAGCAACAGTAAACAAAGCAATTTACCCAGAGGAAAACACTTCTTCTGGAAAACAGGAAGGTGATGGTCCAAAACACACTTCAGTGGAAATACTCCAAAGGCCTCCACATGATTAGGAGATTCAAAACTTCATCATTAAAAAAAAAAAAAGAGCTAACACCATCAGGTGTCATAAAAGACATTATTAACACCACTGTTTAGCTATTTTGCCTGCTTAAGTTTTAAGGACAAAAGCTTTGGTCTTTTAAAAGAAAGTCTGCATTATACCACCAACTCTTACTCCTTATCTCCAGCCTCCCCTTCTCAACTACATGAGTCATACCTTGTATAAAGGCAGAAATTTAGACTGTGGCCATTAAGCTTAATATTGAAGTTTGCGCAAGTTAGTAGAAAGGCACGGTGTCAAACTGTAGCAGTTTACTCAAAGTAAATCAGTCAAAGTATCTGCTGGCCTCTTTACCCAGTGGCAGAGAGCAGCAACACAGCTGCTTCGACAAGCGATGCAAAACTAAATGCAATGAGACTTCACCCAAAGCCAAGCGATTTCAATTTTTCCCCAATATAAGCTTGTGTTCCCCAGCCACCCCCAGGAAGATGCAGATGTTGGCTTTCCTCTGTTGCTGAACTGCAGCACTTGCCCAAAACTCTATAAATAAGACCATGGTCACTCTTCTGTAGTGGTTCCAGCGCAGCACGATTACGAGTGAGTGATGGGAGAAGAAGGGAGAAGGGGGAGAAGAGTGCAGGGCGGCCAGTGCAGGGGAGAGTTTACATGGACTCAAACTCATCGATGCGCTGCTTGGTGTTGCCCTGTCGAATCTGGCGGAGGGTCTTGTACTTGTCTCGGCCCAGTCGCATGTTCTCAGCATGGATCATGTCATTGGCTGTCTTCTTGGTTTCATCCCGAGCGTTTGCCAGCTCTGAGGAAAGAGCCTTTGGGGACAGGAAACAGACACAAAGGGGTTAGCATATGGCCTCCTCTCAGGAAGAGGCTTCCTCATCCAGCTTTCCTAAGGGTTCAGTACCCACAGAAACAAGAAACTTCACCTGACTAAGTTAATGTCTTTCCTTAATATTTGAAGGTGTAAAGCACCAAATACGCCTGTCCTGTTTATCTTTATCTAGCACAAGGAAAAGAACAATCATCAGTCTACTTCAGATAGACAGTAGGAAAGCCTGGTGGAGGGATCCCTAGGGACATTAGGAATGTCCTGACAAAGTAAGGAATTACTAGCCTTCTGAAGTCTACTGTGGAAGACAAAGGGCAGTTCTGTCAATCTGCCTGTGCAAAGCCACCACAGCATGAGGCAGAACAAGCAGACACTACTTCAGTCAGTACAGAATACAACAAAGCGAGTGGGAAGAGTCAACAGCAGGACACTGCTGATCCTTGCAGCAAGGAGGGGCAGCATTGCCCATCCACCTCATGCTGGCTGTTAGTGGGCTGCTCTCAGGCTTTAACAGTGCAAATTAGTCAGGGAGTTACTGACAGCTGCTTGATAGAAACTGGACCAAGTCCTACAATTCACTGCAGCCAGGGCTAGGAGCAGCTGTCAGAAAGCTGGCACGACTCATGGCAGTATGCTGCATCTGACAGATGCTGTTTCTTGGCACCACTCAGAAATGCTTCACTATTACCCATGAAATGGAAGTCAAGTGCCAGGAGACAAGATCTGCCACACACTTCTGTGGTTACTAAACTAACTGGTAAGATCAGGATTCCTTTCTTTCTGAACAGTGATACCTGCCAGCTGCATTAGTGGCAAGAACAGAGGCAACCCCCAGACACACAGGCTCTCTCTGCTGCCAACTTTTTACCTTCAAGTGTTTCTGGACCCGTTCGTTCTTCTCCGCCTCAGTGGTGCGCTCCTCCTCGCTGCGGTCCTTGATGGTGGCCTCCGACCGTAGCTCTGCACTGGCCTCTGCAGCATTTTCATCCTGCTCATCATCATGCTCGTTCTCAGAGTGCATGGGCTCAGCGACGTGAGGGGTGCTCATGGCAGTCTTCAACTCCTCTTTGGTCTTTTCAAGGTCCTCCTGCACCATCTGTGCCTGCAGTAAGACAGCCATATAGCTTAGACACTGTAGATAAGGCTTCTTCACAGTGCAAGAGACTTTTGCCCAAAAGCAGTATGCAGGAGCAATACCTGGTGCATGTAGCAAGCCCTGCAGCTACTGCACACTGAAGTGATACCAATCATCTGCAAAACCTTCTGCGGACTCACATTTCAGAGCTTTGAAGAACAGTTACAATTCATGGAAGATAAGCCAAACTAATAAGGCTATTTCTATTTGGAACTAGAATAAGACACTCATTTCACCAGGAAGAACAATGCTGTGCATTTGCAAATGTGGCAAAATATTGGAATAGTGTGGCAAGTCGCACACACACAAAAAAAAATGAAGACCAGGAAAAGTATAGTTGTTGTCTGGATTCTGTTTTACCTTTTGTTGCCACTCCTGGGCCTCACTCTCCTTCTTCTGCCTGGCCAGCTCCAGCTGTGTGATCCTAGCTGTGAGTTCTGCCATCTCAGCGGCCTACAAAAGAAAGACTTTTAGGGGGAACAAAACCCAGATTGCTGCTAAATAATGTTGAATCCAAATCCCAAATAAAATCGGTATCTTTAACACTCTTTTGATAAGGAGAAAGCCTTTTGTATTCTTCAGTCCCATTGATATCTCTGTAATTCAAGGAAATAGGAAGCTAAAAATACTTTTTATTCCTCCCCCCCCACCCCACCCCCAGAGATACAGATCTCACTTCTTTGAACCCGAGCCACGGAAGGCAATTTATGAGCTCCACATTGCTTTCAGCATTGCCTACAAGTGCATGCAAAGTGCACTATAAGACAGATATACTGCACAAATACACCTGCGTTTAGGCACAAGCTCATCTGCCTGAGGTTTAAAAATAAAGAAACAAGGTATGTCTTCCGCCATATTCATAGTGCTCTGAAAGCTGCCACCATCTTCCCTGCCAGATTTTCAGTTCACTCACCAGTTGTTCCTGAGTCTTTTGCTGATCATGGGATGCTTTCAGGAGGGCCTCCTTTGCCTCCTCTGCTTTTAGCCAGTTTCTCTGCTTCCTCCTGAGCTCGTTTCCTCTCCTGCTCCAGCTCCATGGCCCTGCGTGTCTGTTCTTCCAGTTCTGCGAAGACAGAAGAGCGTGTTTGAAGAGAGACCAAGTACAGAATGACTGTCGAAGATGCCCTCACCTCCGACTCCCAGATAAAGGCTTCCCTTCACAGGATCAGGCCAAGGAGACATTCAAGCAATTGTCCCCTTTCCTCCCTTCACATACAGCTGGAGCTGGAGGCAGGCCTGTTCAAGGCCAGGAGATTACTTGCCTAACAGGATTTGGGGGAAAGTACTCACACTAAAATGGTGTCTTTAGAGGCAGAGAAGCACACAGGGTTTTGCCAGGATAATGCTGGCCAAGCAATTAGGCAGCAAAGACCAGAGAGCTGGCCAATGCAACAGGCACTATGCTTCCCCACTTCTTCTGCTCACAGGGGTGCTAAGATAAAGCTCCCAGCCAGCACACACAGGGTGCCCTAGCTCAGCCTGGCTCATCCTCAGTGCAAGCTTCAATGCAAGTTTCAGCAGCTGCACACTGAGACCTTCAGACATCCAACTCAATTCAGCAAAAACAAGGCCCTAGCACAACAGTGGAGAGCCAAATGGCTCAGAGAGTCTTCTCATTCGGAACATGCAGCTAGGAAATACTCTGGTGTTCTCATATTACCTTGCTGAGCTTTCTTGGTTTGCTCCTCAATTTGCTTGAGTCTCTCCATTAACTCCTCCTTCTCACGTTCAATCTTCTCCTTCTCCTTTTCTGCCAACTCCCTCTTCTTCTTCTCATTCTCCAGCAGGGCTCTGATGAAGAGGGAAAAAATCACAATGCAGTTTAGCATTAACAACTGCTCAAAGTGGGGCACTTCCTGGTGAAGCTGTGAGCACACTACTGTAGCACTGAGCTGCTTAGCTTTAATCTAGCTGAAATCCTTTGAAGTCCAATGCAGAAAGAAAAGCCCTGCCAAATGTAGGGGCATCCATGCTGTTAGGGGGCACCCATAAGAGCAATGCTGCCAAGGAAAAACTCGTATCAAACCTCAGATGAGTTCTGTCAAATAGATGGACATATATTTAACTCAAGAGCCTGACAGTGGATTACCCTTGTAATGAGTGCTATTTTCATCAATCTGTTTGATCTACTGAAGCATAAAGCACTCTGCCCCACCGCTGGCTCAAGTAGATTAGTAGTAAGGTGCTTTTGGCAATTTCACTAGCGCATGATGTTACCGTGCAGTGCTCAACCAAGCCCAAGTCGTGCAGAACCCCACCAACCTCTCCATCTGTTTCTGATGCTTCTCCTCACGAGCCTGTGCCTTCATCTGCTGCACCTCAATGGTATCTGGTTTGCGCCTGCGCATGTAGAGCTCGTGGTTCCCCATGCAAAGCGCCAGGATTCGCTTGTTAATCCGTAACCGAGGGGCGTAGAATACAAAGTCCTTGGAATAAGGAGAAGGCAGCATTAAGAATTAGTCCTTCAGCAGAAACAGTCCTCTGTGAATACAACGCATCTCAAAACCCTGAACTTCCTAGAATCATTAGCCAGCTTTTCTCACCAGTATCTAGTTTATCAGCAGTGGTAATCAGACACCTGTCTTTCAGGAATGAATTTCAACCGGTAAGTGCATGCAGGGCCGAAGTGCCCAAGTTGCTGCTACAGCATGCTGTGCTTCACTGCAAAGCATTTCTAGTACATAGAGTACATAGAGACTTGGATTCATGATTATTACAAACACAATCACACCTGGTTTACCAGACATACTGAAACACTGACTTGCCCCTCACCATTCCACTAAAGAGTACTCTTGCCAGCTACTTGAAGTGTAATGTTTTTTCTTATGCCAGAATAGGTGTTAAACATTATGTCCTGTGGATAAATAACTTTGTTCTGTTAACAAGGAGCAACAGTAAATGTTTTCCAAGCAGCAGTGACACAGGCGACCAGAGGAAAAAGAGGTATCAGAAGACACCCAAAAAATTAAGGGACCTTGAAGATGAGACCAAGCTGAATTATTTCATTTAAAATAATAATAATAATTTTTTAAAAATGTTCCTAGCATACCCTACAAGATCATCTTACACTTCAGCTACAGATAGGGTGACAAAAAACTACGTTTGAGGAAGAATTGCAGAAGATTTTCCCGCACGCCACTAAATCCAGTAGGCTTAAGCGGAAGCATTCATTTTTAACATAAGTGCCTCTGACCTTTAACAGTAGCAGCAGAGAACGGAGTAGGTTTAAGAGAACCAGAATCCCAAAGCCAAGAGCCTACCTCTTCCACTGTCTTTGAACAGCTTAAAATTAGGCTGAACAATATTCTCCTCTCCTTATCAGGACTAAACACTATCTATTTGCTATTACGCCCATCCTGCGCATACTGCCCCAAACAGATCAGGGAGTAAGTAATCTCTTTATTATTGATAATGAGATTACACAAAGTAAAAAGCCAGATCACTCAACAATAACAAAGTGCTCAAAGTTTTTTAAAAACATATATATATTTCAAGCTGTTTCTTACTGGTGCTTTCTTGTCAATAGGCTTGATAACAAACTTCTTGTCATTAAATGAGATATTTCTGATCTCACTCCAAGGGAATCCAATTTTCGGTGTTAGCCTGCAGAAATGGAAAGCAAAGGAGACAGATGTCCCAAGTCATTCCAAATTCTTGACCTATAGTGCAAAGCCTAGAATTCTGCCAGATCAGCCCTCACAATATTACAATACTCTACTACTGACTGGAAACAGCAAATAAAATAGGAGATACATAAACACGAGCTACAAACATAGGAAGTGGCTCTTCAACACCCGCCTTTTATTTTTTCTCTCCTCTTTTCCCTTCCTCTCCTTCTTAATATAAAACTGAGGAGCTTATCTGTGGCAGGAAGGCTTGCAATGATGCAAGTGAAACGAAAGCAACATGTTTCACATCACTTTTTTAAATAGTGGATTGACTATCAGATTTTTCTAAGTGACAAATACAGCCAAGAACAATCCAGAGATAATAGGGTTTAAGATATTTGACATCCAAAAAAGATTACTTTGAATATTCCTTTGTACTGGAAAGAAGCTGAAGGCAGTGGTAAAAATAGGTTTATTACCTGTCATTCTGCTCATAAATGTTGAGTCCAAGAGCATCTACACCTAGCCACAGTTCAGAGCCCTTCTTGTTCTTAATGCTAAAGTAGTTCACACCGTACATTTCCAGATCCTGTGCAATTTTCAGGTACTCCAGGACAGCATCTTCCCTGCAATACACAAAAAGAAAGCAGACATTCCTTTCTCAGTCCATTTTAGTCACTAGAGTGAAAAGGTACTGTCTTCCTACAGGCACAGAACAGCAACAACCTGGAAAAGTTTTAAGTATCTCACCCTAGAAGACAGCAGTGGATAAGCTCAGCAAGTTTAGCTTTATTATATTACAGTCAGTCCATGGAAACTAGCAAGGGTAGAGGTGCAGGAACCTCATTTTTCTTTAGCAGAATAACCTGAGGAAGGCCAGCAGTCAGCTGGAGGAGTTATGATTGATGCTACACTGATGTTACGCACTAACATATTTTACACTATTTTACATTTAGCAGTGCCACACTGCATCCCTTACCTAATCATTCCTCGGTGTTCCTCGTGCCACACCTGGATCCTCTCCTCCCACTGGTCCTTGTTGAGTTTGTGCTGCTCTAGAACCCTGGAAAGGAAATGGCATCACGTCAGAAGAGCACATGGGATGTTTGAGACCAACCACTACATCTACAAACATGCAGGTCACGTTGCTCTTGAGCAACTTCACCGAGTACTCCATCAGCCCACAATTCTTTCCCACAGGTGGCCCAAGCACAAGGCGAGGAAGGGAAACAGGTAAATATTCACACTTCCATCAAATCCCACTCATTTGTGTTTCTTCTACCATTATATCTCGATTTTTCAGAGCTTTTCCCACTACTTCCAAATACAGTTTCTTTAGTACCTACAGTTTTCTTAAGATTAAAGGTCTTAAGTGAATACCAATGCCCACATTCATGAAAAGATACAAGGCTGGCTTTCCTTCTATATAAGCCAATCAAGACCAAAAAAAAAAAAAATCCCAAACCCTTTAGGGCACAGAAACTCCAAAACCACCAGGTTTACCTACCTCTGCGGGAGCAGTTTGTCACTAGCAAGGTAGCCAGGCTTGTGCACCTCCTTATTAAAGTCACCATATTTTGACTGGACAGCATAAGAAGCCAGGAGGACAGCTGTTTCTGGAGGGCAATAAATGTCATCATTCAGGATTGCCTCCTTCACTTGGAGGAAGAAGAGGCGCTGTGTGATGTCCTGGATCAGTTCCTCTGCCACGTCCTCTGGATAGAACTTGGCTCGGAATTTGAAGAGCAGGGGACTCTCCTTGCGTACATCCTGTGCCGTAACCTGCAACAACAGAATTGATCAGGTTTTACAGGCAATGTACCAACTGAGTGGAGTAGAAAGAAAAAGAATGTAAGCGTGTGTTAGAAAGAAAACCTCCTTTCTAGTACAGAAGTGAGCATACAGAGAAGTCTAAAATTTTCACTCCCTGATGGTAAACATCTCACCCTCCTCCCACAGCATTTATAGCAAGCCATAAGTCCTCACAAGATGAGCTATTTTCCAGGTTTCTCTCCAGTCAAGATGCTCACAGGAGCACTACATTTGCCTCTATAGGGAAGGATAACAGATCTGGCTGGATAACAGACAGGACTACATGCAGGCAGAACAGACTAGGCCCCATGTCTCCTCCTTCCTTGGGAGACCTGAAGAAAGGCAGTGCCAATTTGTTAATCTCAACACATTTCCAGTTTTCAGAGAAGTAAGAATAGAACCCTGACATGAATACTAGATCCAGCCCCGTTCTGCAAGAAATAGGAGCCCAGAACAGATGAAAGCTTGATGCAAACATACCTTTTTGTTCAGTTTCAGCCATGTTGAGAAGCCCTTGGTGTCCTGATACTGAAGTCCAAAGAACCAAACCTCTCTTAAGCCAATTGTCTTCACAACCTGGAGAGAGAGAGAGAAAAAAAAAATATTAGCAAGAGTCCCTGCTAGCAGCAGAAAGCACATTATCAATTAGGCCTTTCTAGTTCTCCTCTGAACTTGTGTCCTGCTTCCCCTGCTACTATGCCAATACAAAGATACTAGAGCATCCAAGGGGAGCGTCCCAAGTGGGAGATGTACTCCATTCATCCATCTCCCACACCTTGAAGTTTTGTTGCTATCTAAAAGCAACAGCTTGGAATGCTGTTTTTGAGCAATCTTATAAGCCAACGTAACAGGCCAAAACGAGATGCAGTGGGTTGACAGCTGCAATACTACCAGAAATTAACACTTCAGGTACACCCCTCATTCATCAAAAGATGCACTATTTCTGGGCAAGACATGGTTCCACTGCATATCCTACTGGGTTGTGCTGTTCTAACATTTGTACTTTACTTGAAGCTATACACGGGCTTTTTATTCAGTTGCTTAATGCCTGGCACTCTGAGAAGGTACTGCAGTAAATCAACACACTTCCTTGTGCCAGGGCAAGGACCTACCACAGGTATTACCTGCACTGGTATGCAAGCTCTCTCCTTAGTCACTGTCTGAGCACACTATAGATGCACATATAGATGTGTAAAAAAAAGTTAAGGGTTCAGACCCTACAGACCGCAAGGCTCTACAGAGCCTTGAGTGTGGAGTAAACAAGGCAAGTGGGTCACACAACCTCCACTTGTGACGTGCATGTGTCACACAGGAGGATGCACTCTGTTAAGGGGCATTAAAAATCGTCACACACGTATTGAGAGGGAAAGATACAAAGAAAGGAAGCAAGGTTGTCCTGCCGCCTGAGAAATGCTTTGTTCCCAACAGCACTGGCATCCAAAGGGATGATAGCTCACCCTGGCTGCACGTGTCTGCTTGCCTTGCTCTTCTGTCAGTGGTTTAAGCCAGGGAGCTCAGCACCCTGAATCAACAGTGAGAAGTGGAATACACCCCGCACAAAGGGCTTTTATTTGCAGTGGAGAAGCCTGCATAGCAACAGCAGTGACAACGGGCTGGACATGGAGGAGAGACAGTGCTGCAGACTCAACATCACATCCCCAACTGCTACTGAGTCACCCCCAAGTGCAACATAGCTCCAGCTCTGCTAATGCAAGGCATATTCTTGCTTGTTGTCTGAGTTGGACTTGGACTTCATCTGAAGCTGCTCTTTACGTGGACATAAAGAAGGAGAAAGGGTATTCCTCCTCTGCCCATCCTGGCTTTATGGAGCTATTTACATCCTTTAGACAAGAGAAAAAGGCAAGGAAAAGAGAGCTTTCTATAGCCACAAGCAATCGAGTATTGCAATTACGAGACCAAATATCAGATATCTACTTTTGCACAGAGCGTTTGGATTCCAGATTAACTACAGAGGTTTCAGAAAATCAAACAATCACTGGTAGGGGCTATAGGCAAATGAAAGCTGGCACAGGGGAATACAAAGAGTACTGTTTAACACAGACTACTTAAACACACAAGTTTAGTCTGTAGGTTGGATAGAGTGCCATCCTCCTCTGCCAAGAAGGATGCCAAGCTTGTGTTTAGTCTGCAGGGCTTGGTCTTCAACAACAACAGACTGCTGGCAACCTTTAATTCCAGTTGTGTCACAGTACCTTCACCAGCTGTCAAAAGGCCCTTCAAGAATCATTAGCTTAAAATTGCACTTGCTAAGTAATTAAGTCCTCCTTCCTGTGCCTTCAGGGAAGCGGTGCATTTCTGGTAACCTTACAGTCATTTTCATCACTTAGAGAAAACCTAAACACATGACCATTCTTTTCAAGCGTTTAGGAGAAAAAGGTAACCTGCTTTCCTACTTCTTGTTTTTCTTACCCCTCTTTTCCCAGGTCTACTTTTTTTCTACACTTTTTTCTACTTCCATCCTCATCTTGAGGTACATGCCTTTCTCCCCTGCATTCTTATTAATACATGATGGCACAAAGCAGGAGCACAAGTAGGCCTCTTAAATGTAAAATTCAGCGTCACACAATCATTATGGTTGGAAAAGACCCTCAAGGTCATCAAGTCAAACCATAAGCCCTTCAGCACCCTGCCTGTTAAATCATGTCCTTAAGTGCCTCATTTCTTGAACACTGCCAGGGACAGTGACTCCACCACTTCCCTAGGCAGCCAGTTCCAATGCTTGACTACTCTTTCCATGAAGAAATTCTTCCTTATGTCTAACCTAAACCTCCCCTGCTGCAACTTGAGGCCATTTCCTCTTGTTCTATCTGTAGTTATTCTGGAGAAGAGATCGACCCCCACCTCACTATAACCTCCTTTCAAGTAGTTGCAGAGAGCGATAAGGTCACCTCAGAGCCTCCTCTTCTCCAGACTAAATAACCCCAGGCCTCTCAGCTGCTCCTCATAAGCTCTGTGCTCCAGCCCCTCCACCAGCTTCGCTGCCCTTTTTTGGACACCCTCAATGTCTTTCCTACAATGAGGGGCCCAAAACTGAACACAGGATTCGAGGTGCAGCCTCACCAGCGCCAAGTACAGGGGACAATCACTTCCCTAGTCCTGCTGGCTACACTGCTCCTGATACAAGCTGAGAGGCCATTGGCCTTCTTGGGCACCTGGCAGCTGGCTCATGTTCAGTTAGACATCGACCAACACCCCGAGATCCCTTTTTGCTGTGCAGCTCCCCAGCTTCCCTGCCCCAAGCCTGTAGCACTGCATGGGCTTGTTGTGACCCCAGTGCAGGAGCTGACCCTTGGCCTTGTTGAACCTCACACAGTTGGCCTCGGCCCATCGATCCAGTCTGTCCAGGTCCACCTGCAGAGCCTTCCCACCCCCAAGCAGACCAACTCTTCCTCCCAGCTTGGTGTCATCTGCCAGGTTGCTGAGGGTGTCCTCAATCCCCTCATCCAGATCGTTGATAAAGATATTAAAGGGGACCATCCTCACCACTGACCCCTGGGGAACACTGCTTAGGGCCAGCCACCCACTGGATTTAACTCTATTCACCAACCACTCTATGGGCCCGGCCACCCAGCAAAGAGTACACTGGTCTCAGCCATGAGATGTCAGCTTCTCCAGGAAAAGGCAGTGGGGGGACTGTGTCAAAGGCCTCACTGAAGTCTGAGCAGACCTCAGCCACAGCCTTTCCCTCAGCCACTAGGCAGGTCACCTGGTCATATAAAGAGATCAGGGTGGTGAGGGGCAGGAGCTGCCTTTCATGAATTCATGTTGGCTGGACCTGATACTCTGGTTGTCAACGCACATGCTGTGTGATGACCCTCAAAATGACCTGCTCCATAACTTTGTCCGATAGCAAGGTCAGACTGACAGGCCTATAGTTCCCCAGATCCTCCATCTAACCCTTCTTGTAGATGGGCATTACACTGGCAAGTGTCCAGTCATCTGGGACCCTTCTGGTTGACCAGGACCACTGATAGATGATGGAAAGCAGCTTGGTGAGCACTTTTACTGGCTCTCAGAACCCCTTGCATGGATCCCATCTGACCCCACAGACTTGTGAGTGTCCAAGTGGAATAGCAGGTAACTGACTGCTTAAACCAATATCAGGTTGATGACTGCCCTCATTCTCAGCCCATGAAATAGCACCACCACATTCATTTGCACATGTAGAACCTACACAAAAACAGTCTGTGCACAAGGGAAAGACAAGCACACAGACAGAGGGGAAGACACTCAGCTGTGGCCATGCCCCTGCTCCGGAGATCAGCACACTAGGCAATACCACAGCACTTAAAAGCTGTCTTGAGCACCACCTGCTTAAAAATGAAGAGCTCTTGATCTCCTATCTACATAATGGACCAAGCAGCCAATGAACCTCTGTGAGAAAACTATCAGTAAGCCACAGGGCTGCAGGAGCTGGTGGCACACCTGCAGTTTCATAGTTCTCTTGTGCAGGTTAGCAAACAAGGCACTTACCAGTGGAGTGTTATTAATCATGCTGCTCTTAGTGACACTCACACACTCTGTGCTGTTACACAAGCTCCTTTCCTCAATTAGATCTGATGGAAGTGTAAGTAATCATCAGCAGTCCCAGGCTTTATTTGGCTTCATTTTCTCCACCAATTGTGATGGGGAAGAGAAGGAAGCCTTCTCTTAACTACCATTGAAAGTTAAACACAACATTGAGAACCAGTAATTTAGATGTTCAGGCATATTAAGCCCAAAATCAAGTGTGGGTGGAAAGGATTACAGATAAGAAAGGAATTTATAAGAAGAAAGTTTATTTTAGTTGCATTGATAATTAGGAATCACACTGTTGTTTTGTTTTATTTTGTTTTGGGTTTTTTTGCTTACAGTTTCATATATTCAAAGATCCACAAGTAGCTCAGCAATAATCATATTTTAAGAAAGAAAAAGAATTGCTGTTCAATAATACTATGGATTTGTACCTTGGTTGCATTTGCAAGGCCAAGTACCATGTTAGACTATTCAAGAACTAACAAGATTTCATCCAGGTACAAAGTTACAGAAAGGTGATATGCATTGCCATTTTGTGGGATAAGAATGGAGGAAGGAAAAAAAAAGAAAAGCTTATAATCTAACCCAAAGCTAGATCACACTGCGATACAGCTGATGCCTTCCAAGTAAGATTTTTTTTTTTTTTTAATTTGCAAATCTTTAGTCTGGCTGAAGGCAGAGAAGATACTTTAGAAGATTAAAGGCCAGGAATGAAGTAATTCAGGACAAGCCACTATCACTTGTGCTGGTTCTCTTTTCTAATCTTCTTAAGCTGTCTGTGCAAGGCTATCATGCCTCAAGCATTTAGATCATGAGATAACCTGTGAACTACTACTACTGTCCTTTTAAGCCTTATTCCTATTAATTCACAGCATATAATTTTGCTTAAATCTCAAACTCCCCAAATTATTTGTAATATCTAGAAAAAATTAAAGAATGTATACCCTGGAAAAAAAGGGGGGAAAAAAGTATTTTTGTTGTAATGCCACAGTTTAAGATATTTATGATTCAAAACAGATAAGATTTGTTTACTAGATCAT